CATCTTTGATCCAATTGTGAAATAAATCATCATGGACATGTATCCTAACACGTATAATCTATGTACCAAGTTTTAATGAAAACTGGCATAGCATGTCCAAAATACAACATTTTAAAAAAACAAGATGGCTGCCAGTCGGCCATTTTAAATCGAATCGCTAAACCACTGCATGTGCATATGTCCCACATAAAGTACTAGGCACATGCAAAGAATGAACGGAATCGGTCCAAGGGATTCTGAGATATGACTCCGGACGGACGCACAGACGCACGAACACACGGACGGACGGAGACCGAATTATAAGTCCCCGTTTTCGGACTTCGTTCGAACGGGGACTAATAAAGTTTGAACATGGTCAGTTCATTTTTTAAACCAATCTGAAAAAACAAATGTGGATCCAGGTCTCACAATGTCCAATGTATGTCCCACATTTTAAAGCGAAGTGGTTATCACCTGAGCACGCGCGATAATCGAGTCCCAACCGACACTAACAACACTTGCTTAAAACACGAAGGCTCATGGGTAGTTGATTGTTTGTAAATACTGACACACTATGGCCATTTGACGCATGCGCAAGTGCCAACACCCTGCTTTAACAAAATCTATCCACACACAACTGAGATCCGGTTCTGAAATGACAGAAATGTTTTTTAACGAATTTTTGACATTAAAATAGCCATCATTTGGCCATCTAGAATTGGATAATCAATCAAATACCTGTACATACATGTATGTTCAACATGATGTACATATATAAAATTTGAACATGATCGATCTGGACATGTTGACGAAATTGTTTTAGAACCGCATTTGTTAAAACAAAATGCATACTAGTCCGCAATTTTGAATCTGATCTGAAAAACAGAATGACATGCATCAAGATATCATAACAAAATCTGACATCCGGTTCCAGAATGAAAGAAATGCTAAATTTTGATAATTTTCAGCATGAAAATGGCCACATGCATTCAGATCAGATTACAAAACAAATGAATTGGCATAATTATGTATGCAAAGATGTGGGTGGTGTATGTGTCTAGTTTGAATAAGGCATGACTAAGATACAGGTAGAGACGCATAAATCCACATGAGTAAGAACATAAGTTTGTTGGAACAGAGCCTTAGTTTATGTACAATTGTATTGTATGTGTGCTCTATTACAATGCTCTTTAATACATAAATAATTGAGTGGTGTCATGTTCAAAATGATAGCAAATATGTGTATTTTGTAAACTGGCACAAACAAATATTCCACATCTGACTGACCAGGCTACCAAATTATTGATTACGGTACCAAGTATTATCTATTATATACCAAAATTATTGTTTGCTTCACTAACACCATTAACAATCTATAGAAATAAGCTATAAAAACAAATTATAAAACGTTACACTTGTATTTCAAATAGACTGACTAATACACTGTACTTTTTTAGTCGTCAAACATTAATGAGCCTTGAAATGATGACCAAATAAATTAAACCGTGAACTGTATGTCGGTTTGTATGAATTATAATTTCTTCCCTGCTCTGTGATATACTGAGGGTGTGTGTGATATATTCTGAGCAGTTTTGACTTGGTATTCTAGTTCTAGTGTATGTGCACATGTTTCTAGATGTTGTTTACTAACCACAGTTTTCTTCATCTGAGGCATCATTACAGTCTACATTACCATCACAGTAATAAGAGAACGAAAGGCATTCTCCAGAATGACAGAAAAACTCATCAACCTCACAGTACCTTGGACAGCCTGATGCATTGTCATCAACCGCATTAATAGCAATGTTCACTACTGAGAGATGTATATTAATAATGGATGTGAATTTCATATTTAAAAAGATTATGGAGAATAATATAGCTTTAGCAAAATACTTAAAGAGCACAATTTCTAAAACCACAGAAAGTAATTAATTTATTTTTTTCTTTTATTTTACTAACATTTTATTTTTATCTCTTATGTATTGTATGTTCTTATTTTCATTGTATTTATGTTCCTTACCATACAAAAACCCTCTGAAGGTTTTTAGTAGTGTAATAAAGTTATAATAATAATAATTAATAATACACATTGGTGGAGTGACATGCATGTCGTAAAAAATAATTATTTCTTTAGAATCTTGTGAATGCATGATTAATGGTCCTTTGGACAATATATAAATAATTTATTTAATCAACCAAATATACAGTCTGAGTATAGCAGAATTTCCAAGCTGGCTTTGTCTTCTCATAAATATTTGCAATTTTAAAAACAAGTATATTGTCATCAATATTTTCAACTTTCAATTTTTCGTTGTATTATTTATTTAAGTTACTAATATGAGACATTTTTAGGCATTATGCTGCATAATTGATAAATATCTAAAAGTAAGCTGAATGTCAAGTTACTCTTGAATTGTAACTGTTTGTTTGGTTAGAGCTTGATTTTTCCTTGCGCAAAATGAACAATTCTGACAGACATGGGTGACACAGACACAGTAAATACAATACTTACAAGGCATACATGTATAACCATTTTGATTGAGATCAACGCAGAACAAGTCTTCAGGGCAGTCATGGATAAGACAGTTAGTGGCTGTTAAAAGACAGAAGTTAGAGTTTAAACTACAGTATACAAATGAAAGAAGAAGAACATCTATTTGTTAGATAATATTGTTTGTAAAACATTATCATTTTATTTTACTATTCAAAAAATACGTATACACCTACAGAAGACTCGTCTAACAAGATGTGCTTGGTCAAAGCTTGGTCAGAGGAAATAGGAATATAGAACTTAAAACAAAGAACTCATTCATTGACAGAAATTATAACACTTTAGATAAATGTCTGAATATTTTAATCACATGTTATATCAGATCAAATCAGTATTCCCTTTTTTTCCTTTTTCATTAATTTACTCTTCATATAATACAATACCACTATGTAATGTATTATTGTGTTTCATGTTTACATCATAAAAATTAAATTATTTAAATAAAAAAAAATGTCATGAAATAAACTAATCTAATAGAGGTACACCCAAAGTACATGTACATATATACCAATTATTGAATCAACAAAAAGTCATAACATTTTTCACCAAAAATTGTGAATATATTCGCTGAAATTACAGAATTAAAAGTTATCGTCAAAAAATATTTAAAACTAATAGAAGGTCATCCAAATTCCATATATATCAACAACAAACCAATCGAAGTAGAGGTTTTTAAGAAGCTAAAAAAGCAAAGCTAAAAAAGCTGGCAATGAATGGGTTAATGATCCCATTAATTCAACCAATGCAGGTAGAGTCTCCAATGATCAAGTAATCAAGATTCGGTTGGATCGCAAAAACAAATTTGATGTAATTAAATTATGTATTATGGGATATAATTTTGATGGCATATAAGGCACATTTTTATATGGAGATTAGTTTGTCTATTTAGCTAGAACAGCATCATTACAACTCTTTTTAAGTGATGTGAATGATGTTCTCTCCTTTGCAAAGTGGGAATGCAACTTAAACAATTAATAGCCAATAGCTTGTACAAGAATGAAACACACCTTTGTATTCACAAATACTTTGTAAATTCAGATTACAGGCTCCATTATACCATTTAGAATATGCGTATACACAATCTGCATTGGTGTCACTCATATTTGGATAACCGGATTGCCAATTAGTGTAATCAACCGCAACATCATTAGCCCACTTTACAAAACCATCCTGTAAAAAAAATCACATTGGTCAATATTGTGGGCATATAATGTGAATTAGCAATATGAGAGGCAATATATCTGTAGCATTTTGCTAAAAAAGTGTAAATTTAAAAAATAAGATTTTAAACACTCAAGACTGCATGACGACAATTTCCCAAACCTAAAGAATGATAATTTGAAGTACAACGTAACCTACCCCATAGTTTCTTAATCCAATGTAAAACAGGTAATTCATGCCAAGTTCTTCTTGTACAGCCATACTATCTATGATCACTAAATGGGAATTATTACTTTCACAGTAGTTCTGTGCATGGTCCCAAATCAAGAAACATTCTGTTCTATGATAACATGATCCAGTGATATTGGAATAAAACCAGCCAGGAAGACACCCAAAACTTGGTAGATGAGCTGTATGGGCAACAAAATTTTTAAACAGTTTTTAGAATTATTTTACGACTATACAATGTATCTGCTTAACAGTCATGGGTGGTTGATGCTGTTTCACATTATACTGGCTTCCAGTTTAACTAGCATTAGAGAAATAAGAAAGCACATGCATTTTCTGATTTACTTAGCTTCAAATTGTTTTTGTTTTTTGTGGAACATATAGTATATCCAATCATGAAGCCATGTTCAGAGATCAGTATTGTCTTACAATTTAAAAACATTTTTTGTATACAATTATTTCGTGCATGGTGACATTTTGTAGCACTAAAAATTATTAAATAGTCAGGATTGCCTTATGTGCATATGTACCTGTATTAGCCTCCTTGACCTTAACCAATGTCTGTTTGTTGACATTGACAAGCAACTAATAAGCAGCTATATTCATTTCTACCTATCTGCCTCTTTTAAATTATTTTTCTTCTTCTAGCAATCACTTCATTTAGCACTGAATTAACTTTAGTTTACTTTTAATTACAAAATTTAACGAGTTTCTTACATTCGTCATAAATAATTCTTCAGTACATCACTAGAAAACTTACGTGTCTTGAACTGAAGAGTGTATGTGTAACTCCCATTTACTGTTGACACTGCAGATAACAAGTAAAGTGTTCCAGGTATGAGATGAAAATAAAAATATGTCTCTGTAGTTGTTTGATTGGTAGTCACATTATGTAGAATATCACTCAATGTGAGATGATAGAAAGAACCAAACTCGTGTTCTACCAACTGGACAGCAGCAGATGTTGCATTGAGAAATACCAATGAAATATCTACAAATGAAAACATAGGAAATGTATACGAGTTATCTCTGACAACAAATATTTAAGAGTTAAAATCTATCTACCGGTATCCTGTTTTTAAGCTGTGACCAAGTCAAATCTTTTTTCTTATAAATTGTTCTAGATCATGTAACAAGACACTGTCCCTCAACACGTCCCTCAGTTGAGGGTCGGTTAACAAGAGCAGCAGTACTATCAATTACAGATGATAATGGAAATAAGAGCTCTTTCTGTTGCAAAATCAGTGAAAGAAAAAATTATTATTATAAATTATTGAATGAGACTATTTTTAACTACCGGGGTATATATTTATTGATGGTTTGGGATGACAGATGAAATCTTGGTACCGTATTTACCGTATTGATCTGAACTTTGGCCATTGGTGATGATTTGGCAGGTGGGTTATCTTTTGGTTGCGAAAAAAAGCTGTCATTTTATTAAAATATCTTGTGCAAAGTTTCATTAATGTGCCAAAAGTATTCTAATTCAGGAGTCATTTTTAGAACATTTCAATCTTTCCTTGCACCAATTTTAAGTTTTTAGGGCAAGTTTTCAGACCAATAAGGTACTTGAAATTGCCGCTGGTCAATAGAACACAATGGTGGAAACTAGGCCAAGCTGTAAAAATCATGCGTAATACTCATCTCAACCAACAATGCTTGCATTCAGGTGATTTGACCTACTTTCATGGTTATTTGTACCACTAGTTTCACGCAGAATCATGAAAACAATTACAAATTCAGAAATACAAGCAGGCAGCTACTGAAAACTTACGCTGAGGACAATCTGACTCATCAGAACCATTCAAACAGTCAGTAACTCCATTACATTCAAGATACAAGGGTAGTAATTTTATGTCACTGTCACATTCAACTGATGACAAAAAAAATATTTTTCATTAAAACAAAAAGCAAGGATTACAGTTAATTGCAATGAAATAAAATTACATAAAAATGTACAAATTCACAAACATGCTCTTGGCTTATATCAATCATTATGATTGGTTTCAAAAAAAGGAATATTAAATTTAACACAAAAAAAGAATATTAAAAAAATTCTTAAGTCCAGAATAAAAGAAAGCATTATTTTTAATTAATTTTAGCTTAGATGTTCCCTCTTTATTTTGATTGAAGAAAAAAACAACATATTGTTAATGTCTATTTTATCACAAAATGATTATTTGTACAAAGTATCTAAGTATCAAATAAAGTAGTGCTACATTAAAAATAGATGAGCATAGAATATAATAATACCAACAAGATATTTTAGAATATATGAATATAAGTACATGTATATGAATAAATACCAAGCGTATAAGGAATATTTTTTTAAGGGCATAGCAAACAGGTAGGACACCACTCTTTGTGAAATTCAAGCAGGTAGCTGTTTTCTTAACAGATTCTTTTTAATTTTTGCCAGGGTATTAATAACACAGATTAATATGATATCAGTACTTTCACTCAAATGTATATCAGGAACTGACCATTAGAAATGCTGAGTTCTTAACTAGATTTTTATTTTCACGATGTTGTTAACATTGTGGATTTGAATGTTGAATTAATAATTTTTGGTACCTTCCATCAAATGTGTATATTCCTGGGGGCAGGGCTTTGTCACAGAATATTTTAAGTTGCTTGAACAAACACCACTGCACCATGTATTTCTATGGACTGCGTGCATGAAGCTACTGTGGAATGCCAGCCAAATGCCAGAATGTAGATTTTTCTCTATGTGGAGTTTTTAATGTCAACCCACTTATAATTTTTTTTTTAAAACTGACCCAAATCTGTGAAATGCAAGAGAGATATTGAAAATCAGTATCATTTACCTATGCAGTTAGTTTCATCGCTGAAATCTGTACAATCTTGGAATCCATCACAGTATTTATAGTCCGGAATACATTCATCACTATTATCACATCGTATGTATCCATGGAGTCCATCACAATAGACTGGTTTACAAACAATAAGACTTAAAATACAGAAATGCTTTATAGACATTTGCATGGCAGTCCCCAATGTTTGACCGGTCCCCTCACAAGGAAGTCTACTAAATCTGTTTTAAACTTTATGGATTTCGGCATAATGGAGTCTTCGTAATAAGGTTGGACCATTTGATTTTTGAGGGGAGGGGAGGTCAGAAACGAAAAAAAAAAATTTGCAAAAGGTTCTTCAAAAAAAAAAAATTGCTGCTTCACCAGTGTAAAAAAAAAATATTTGTCACTATATGATTTAGGAAAAATATGGCAATTCTTCCTGCCAAGATAAGGGGACACAGAATACAAGAAGAAACTAGGTCATATATAAATGGATGTCAATAATTCTGGTTTGTGGATTAATTAATAGCAAAGGGGAAATTAATATCTGCATTTCATATTAATTTCAAAAACAATTTCACTCTAGTTGCATTTAGATTGTATACCATATGCTCTATTAGAAGAGCA